ACAGTCGGCTACGGAGCAGATGAGTGGGTATTTTAGTGATGTCCGCGCCGTCTATCAGTATCTTTCCTTTTGTGATGTGATTCAAGCGAAACAATGCGTTCATAAGCGAGGATTTGCCACAACCCGTGCGACCGCAGATCCCCACCTAATATATACACATGTATTAGTAATTATTACATGATCAATACAATTGTATTGCGCTACTAAAATAATAACCAAGTACCTTTTCGCCAGGTTTGACAGAAAATGTGGCCCCTTTTACCACAGTTTCCACAGTAGACTCGTATTTAAGGCTAACATCAATAAACTTTATTTCGCCCTTTTGTGGCCAACTTTCGGTAATTTCTACACAAAAAACAAACAATACATTAACCCATTATTGAAAGCTCCGGGTGTTTGCTGTTTGCTTACTGTGCATGTCTTCCATCGAGTCCTCCTCCTTGTCCTCGATCTCCAAGTGTGAGAACTCGCGAACCCTTTCCACTGAATTCATGTACATCTCAAGTGAGGCCAGATTCCTGACCACCCAATTCAGGTAAATGGGCACCAGTAGGGTATAGGTCAGGGCCATACCCACGTAGGCTGGACTCATGTTCAGGTGAATGGCCGCCCACACAGACGTTATGGTAGCGCAAAACAGTATAACACCTCCCAAGTAGTCCAATGCGATACCTGACAATTAAAACAATACAAATGATCATGATTATATTGCAATATTATTACGTGTTGTAATACTATTCACATACCTAACCAACAGTTGGCTGAGTTAACCATCAAAAAGCATATATTATTGATGTCCAACAGTTCGTAGATTTTGTCGGTAAAACTGATCTCTTCGTTGAAGGCCCGAAGAGTGGTCAGACCGTCGATGGTTTGGNCCAACAGTTCGTAGATTTTGTCGGTAAAACTGATCTCTTCGTTGAAGGCCCGAAGAGTGGTCAGACCGTCGATGGTTTGGCTGTACAGCGAAAATATCGGCGATTTTGTGATTGAATCCAAACGCTGCAACTCTCGCGACGTAAACCGGAAGAAGTGTTGCACAAAGTAATAGATAATAAGTATCGGTATTATAGCGATGGCGAAGTACGGCGTGATTATCAGGTCCACGATAATGGCCGACACACACAGGAATATGAACCTCAACAGCACCGGTAGGGCTATCGGCAGTTTCTGGAGAGACACCACATTTAGATCACCATTAGTTTAATACTAATAATAAATACAAGAGTTGTCTCTTCGCCTCAGCGGACATACCTTATCGATGGTATTCATGTCGATTGAGAAGCGATTAATAATACGGCCAAACGGTGTGACGTCGAAGAAGCGAAGCGGACAATGGATCACATTGTCCAGCATCTGGAGATGGAGTAGCCGTACGGCACGAAGGCTTGTCAATTGAGACAACAGATTGGAGACCAGGGATATGGCAATCGTAATGATGGAGAGCAGAGCGTATCCCTTGATATAATAAAGTAGCCGCTGGTTATCGCTGGCCACCGAGACGTCCGACTTTGACCACTGCGCTAACCAGAAATCTGAGGCCACTTTGAATGCTTGCGTCGATATAATCAGTATTAGACACGAGAAGGACAGGCAGAGGGAACACCTCTTGAAGTACGACAGGTAGACCTTCTTTGAGATGGATCCGGTCTCTCGTTTCTCATCACTTATTAGCTTAAATGCGGCAAAACTTTGTGTCCTTTCCTTAGCCTTCTGTAAACACATACCGGGGAAACACATTAACACATAATGTCTTTATATAAAGGTTATTGGTTTTCATCGGTAATAATCAATACCTGTCTTAACTCTTCGATATCGTCGTCAAGTGCGGGACAGGCGCTGGGGTCGGACTCGTCGGGCTTGCGGTCATTGTCGTCGTCGATCACTCCCTCCTCCTCATCGATGCAGCCCTCCTCGTCTTCTTCGTCCTCCTCTTTGATAGAGTTGCCGGTATATGAAACCCGCGATGTGTGTGAGTTGAGCCGATTCATCGCCGGACGGGTAATGAAATAAGGGGTCGACTCAGCGCTGGTCGACAATAGGGATGAGTTAATGGACGGCGACTTGGAGTCGACCGAATCGATTGAGTTCATTCGTCGGAATGGCGTCACCGGACGGCTGGACACCGACTCTTCGTGATGCGAGCCGACGATCGCCTCCTCGTTGTCCGTCCAGTCGTGACACGGGAGCGGATTCGACGGGTCGTGACTTAATTGCCTACAAAATCAGATCAAATGGTTTAAAATTTGTGACAGTATGTCATTCAATATAAATCATGGTAAAAGCTATGATCATGTGATGTAATTATCTTATGGTAAAAACAATGGATCAAATGGAAGTGATACCTATTGAAGGACACGTGCCGTCTCTTGGGTTTAGGCATTTGTATGGGAATACTATTGCGACAATTGGCCTGAATCTTGTTGGACGAGAGCATACGGACCAAACTCTTCCTCTCTTTGGTAGTCTTGCACTCCTCTATCGTCGCCTTTCGGCGCATCTCTTGCTCTTTGTTGCGGACTTTGGCCCAGAAAGCGGTCAGATTCGGGTCCCGGCGCTCAATCTCGGCGTAAGTGCCCGAGTGTTTCACACACCCGCCCTCCAGCACCACTATATTGTGCGCCTGCGGTATGTACTCCAGCTTATGGGTCACCAAAATGACCGTGCGCCTNACATGCTTAATCACCTAGTGCACTATTTTTCATTTTATTTGTTTTATATCGATCATTTAATATATTTTTTATCAATGTTGAGATAAGTTACTTTGTGCCAATATTATATTTTAGTGCACACAATACAATTAACCAAGTTGTTGTTTGTTAGCAAAAATAAGTTTCCTGTTAAGTACTTTTGCGTGAATTGTATGGGAATTATAGTGTTTTACAATTATGTAAGTTATAGTTTAGCAATAGTTATTAATAATAACTTATTATAACTTGAAATTTGCAGTGAAAGTCTGTCTTACATATTGTAATAAATGATATACACTTTGTTATCTTATTTATGGTTTTTCTTTGATAAATAATGTTAATCTCAATTAGTATTGTGTTAAGGATTAGTAAATATTTGTAATCAAGTGCTTAATCAAAAGAAATGGCAAAAAAAACTTTAAGTAACAAAAAACAATACATCACTGAAGGGGACACTTCTTATCGCAAATCCTATTTGCGGTGACAATTAATGTGTGATTTTAATTATCAATACATATCAATAGGATATCTCTGACGAGCGTATGAGAAAAACGACCGAGCTCTTTATGAGCATCAAATTTCTCAAACTCTTGGGCTGGGAATTGAGTTTTGCCAAAGCGGTCAATGAGATCAGGGAACCGTTAGCTGATTAAACAGTGCCAATCCGGTGAACACGTGACCGGCGGTCAAGGGCTGGCCCTCTATGTACGGATATATGGCGAAAGTGACCAAGGTCACTACGATTGCCGAGCCCTGCGTTATAAATGCTGTATAAATAAAAAATAAAAATTTAACCACGATGATAAATTACTAGTTAATTATGATCTTACTATTAAGCGCCACATATATGGCATCCTTGCGCAGCACTCGCAGCTCCCGGTCCCTGATCTCATTGACCGCTTTGGCAAAACTCAATTCCCAGCCCAAGAGTTTGAGAAATTTGATGCTCATAAAGAGCTCGGTCGTTTTTCTCATACGCTCGTCAGAGATATCCTATTGATATGTATTGATAATTAAAATCACACATTAATTGTCACCGCAAATAGGATTTGCGATAAGAAGTGTCCCCTTCAGTGATGTATTGTTTTTTGTTACTTAAAGTTTTTTTTGCCATTTCTTTTGATTAAGCACTTGATTACAAATATTTACTAATCCTTAACACAATACTAATTGAGATTAACATTATTTATCAAAGAAAAACCATAAATAAGATAACAAAGTGTATATCATTTATTACAATATGTAAGACAGACTTTCACTGCAAATTTCAAGTTATAATAAGTTATTATTAATAACTATTGCTAAACTATAACTTACATAATTGTAAAACACTATAATTCCCATACAATTCACGCAAAAGTACTTAACAGGAAACTTATTTTTGCTAACAAACAACAACTTGGTTAATTGTATTGTGTGCACTAAAATATAATATTGGCACAAAGTAACTTATCTCAACATTGATAAAAAATATATTAAATGATCGATATAAAACAAATAAAATGAAAAATAGTGCACTAGGTGATTAAGCATGTAAATAACTTACCATCTCTTTTTCCTGTATCTTTGAGAGACTGCTCGATAGATAATACTGAAGAGGGGCTAAGACAAAGATGGTGGTGGCGCCTATCAGAGCGCTGTAACCCAAATAATAATACAATAGATATAGGATTAATATCATCTGTAAAAAAATAAAAATACAAAATAAATGTGTTTTTCATATATTTTTAGATAATAAAAGGATATATTTTAGATATTAGGGTACAGTATAAAGGATATTATGATATATGGCTGTGTTATTTCAACTAGTCCAATAACAAATATAATAAATTTATATTGATATGTTGTTTTATTTAATCAATTTCAATGACACTTAAATTATAATATATATCACATCTTAATAAGTAATTAACCCTTTTATTAATTATACAAATAGGATATACTGTTGAAATTGATATTGAAATCTATGCATAAGTTATGTTCACAAATAAACTTACCTTCAGTGGAACGGCCCATAAGTAGTGTCCCATTGAAAGCAACTATTATTATACAACAAGACATAATATTAGCTTAAATAACATAATAAATTACAATAAATTCACGATAAAAACAGTTAAACGACTTATGCATACATACCATAAACATATTGTATGTGTCAATAGACATGTGGTTGACTGTTGAGCCGATATCAGTGCCCGAATGGACTGTCATCCTAAGGGTCTTATCGTAAACCAGACACTATTGTGTGGTATTTTCACCATAATGTAAATGATAACAATTGTTATAATAATATAATGAATTTCATTGTTTTCCGTAATATTATCAGTGATTATTAAACGCGAAATAGTATTATAAAAGCTTACGAAACACTAATAACTTATACTTATAAAAGTTTTATACAAAACTAACACTAAATATCATAAATAATTTTATGTTTATATAAAGTATAATACACTTAAAATTTCTTATAATGTTTAACATAATAAGCAAACAATTGTATCAAAAAATTATTTTATAACTAATTAAATGTCAAAATTCTTGCACTTCTTGTGGAGTTCAATGATATCTAAGTTATATCTAAAATAATACATACATTCAAAGCCGTTTTCAGGTGTATTCCCTCGGCATTAACCAAATGATTAAAATTGTTAGAGAAAGTCGACTGTAATAGAGTGGCCAACAGTACTATAAACGCAATGATATAGCCATTTGTGAGGAAGTGGTGCCACGACAGGCAATAATAGTCAAACTCGAGGGTTTCGGTGATATTATTGGCATTTTTGGTTTGAGTGTCGTTAACATAGCGTATGATATAATCGATAGATAGGGGACCGAAGAGGCCAAACAGGTCGGCGCCGATCTTAATCATTACACCCACGGCCAGAGAGCTCCAGTAGGTCTTCCAGTAGCACAACCACAGGTGGGTTGGCGTACAGTTCTGGTACTAAATAACACATCATAAATTGAATTATGGTAATTTATTAATAAAGGGTGAATAATAATCATGCTAATAATAATATTGCTAATTGAAATACATGTTAAATAATAATGACAATAATATTGGGTTTAATTGGGGGGG